TTTATGCAGTAAAATATATACTGCATATCTGAGTATCGCTGCTCTTTATAAGTGCATGTTCACATGGTGGGCAAATAAGTGAATGGTGGGTAAATTATGTTTTTTGTTTCCATTAACTTATCTGCCAATTAAACCAAAAACATCAGGTGCCCTTACTGCCCTCTCCAAGGCATAAGACTTGTTTCTGATTATTTTAAATCAAATACATTTGAATCCTGTTTAGAACTGCTTATATGGCCTCTTCACCTCTTGTCATTGTTAAAATTTCCCATGACTGCTCTAAAGTCAGGCTGAACCGAGTTGCTTGCATGGAGGATTTTTAAATGTGTCTTGTTGAGCTCTGCAGAACTGAGACTGAAATTTGAGTCAGATGAGAAGGTTGAGTTGTACAAGGGCCAGACAAACACATACATATACGCATAAGCATACAAACATGCTCTGGCCAATTAAGGGTCTGAAAGGAACAGTCTGTCCCCACAGACTGCACACTGCACAAAAAGAACAAGAGGCTAGAGACTGTAAAATCACTTTTCTATAGCAGAACGATTGAGACTCATGCTTAAAATAGCTTACTGGGCCCCAGGGCAGTAATGTTGTAGAGCATAAGTTTGGTCAAGATAACTTTTATTGTTCTTTTCTTTTCATCTTTCCAAAGCCACTACAGGTGTTGTTTGCTGGGGAGGCCACCCATAGAAAATACTATTCCACTACCCATGGTGCTTTGTTGTCAGGGCAGAGGGAGGCCAACCGCTTAATCGAGCTGTACCAGTACTCCTTCGGTGAAACCACAAAGCCTAACATTTAAAATAATCGCAACAAAAACAAGAACCACTTACTAGTGACAAAAACAAATGTGTTATGTGCTATCTGTATTTCAAATAATGAAATTATGTATGAAAACCTAGTAGGGGCATTAAACTAATAACAATAAATCCTCTTTATACTGTATTTAGATTAGCACTCTGTAGATTTTACTTGAGATGTACTGTACAAGGCAGCCATGTGGCGCTTTCTCTAGTCCTTATTCTTTTTTCTTATTATTTTTAATCCATGTTAATATGTTTCTATAATTTAAAAATTTTTGTAAGTGCCTTCTGTATTTAACGTTGTCTTTAAAAATTAAACAAAAAAGACTTGATATGAATAAAGTGTATGTTAATGTGAAGAAAAATGTGTTTTCTTTCCAAGTCTGTTTCAGCTTATTATTCAAATGTCTTTTTATTTTATTCTTCTCTTACAAAAGTACATTTCTTTGAAATACAGTGATTGAACTAACTTACCAGGCTTCCAAGATTTTGGTCTTTTTTTATATAGTGCTATTCAGTGCATCGTCTTGTGCCTAGTGCAACTAGATTTTTTTCAGTTTTGGCTCAGTACAACTATACATTGTAGACTCTTAGCGGTCTGCTCTATTTTAAAAACCACAGTAAGCCACAAGATAAAAAAAAAAAAATCTAAGCGACCACAAGAAGGCAGTGTTGACCTGAAAAATTACGATTTTTAAAACTTACTGGCTTAAAGGCACAATATGTAATTTTCGCCGCTGGAGGGTGCGTATTCAAAACAAACAAACAGACAAAGGCGTAGTTTGATGACGCCGTGACTGAGTGTAAACACTGTTGTAGTGGTTTTTGGATATTTTAATAAAAACATATTACATATTGTGCCTATAAGACGAGAGACAAAAAAAAAAAAAAACATTAAAAAAAGAAAACAAACAAACAAAAAAATAAAACGGTGAACGACCTCATTTTAAATTGCACAACCTATAATAAAAGGTGAAAATTGTAGGGAGAAGTTCAGACTTTGTCACTAGAAAATCTATTGGCTAAAAAAAGGGGGTTAAATATGAGAGGTGCTGACCTTACTAAAGGGATAGATGTGGAATCAAGTATATAAATAAAGATCTGAACTCCATTTTACTTGGTGGCAGTACTGTACCAAAAGCTGGTTTGCTAACTGCCAAAAAAGTTAATACAAAAAAGGAGAAGAAGATTCTCAATGTGGGTGAAGTTAATGTAAGTTTGTAATTTAAAGTTAATACACTTTTACATTAGATGTTTGTGAATTGTAAAGTTCAGAGTATTTTAATGAAGTTTGGTTCCGCTTAAATAAGATTTCCTGATAAGTCAGATGCCTGTGGCGTTGATGGCCCAACCACCCCTAGTGGTCAGGAGCGTTGTTGTTTAATTCTGTTGTGAACTTTTGTATGCTTTTAAATGTAGAAGTGTTATGCACCTATGTGCCATATTGTCAAGGTTTATCAGTGAATATTTTAGCTTCCCATATTTAATTAGGTCATTTTACATAAATAACATACCAAATTAGAGATGACTATATTGGTTTCATGTTACATTAAATGTTTGTCAATGCAGATCTAAGCTATTATTATTATTTTTATAATTTTTAATTATTATTTTAGATTTTTTTTTGTGGAAATGGTGTTCATAGCAATAGATTATTATTATTTAAATTGTTTATTCTTAGAAGTGATTTTAGTCTCCTGATTGCCGTTTGAGTTCCATATGAGTTGAACGCCTCTAGTGATTCTGAGCTTAATGTATTGACTGCCATCTTCTGGTCGGGAAGGAAATCACTAGACGAGGATTGTTTAATTAGATTTAGCAAATATTCTCGTCGACATGTCCAAGAAGGGTTTCCCTAACTTTTCCATAACGGTATTCTCTTCTTATCTTCTATATGTGTAAAACCCCAGAGTAATGATCACAATTTAACGTTACACTACAATAACCAAATGCGCACAAAATACACGTTTAAATTGTATAAAAAGGAGATTGCTGCTTACCTTCTTTTAGTTAGATGAGATGGTCGTGACTACACTGAGACTAAAATGGCGCTTTTAATCATTCGTACTAACGTTACGTCTCAAATTTGTCGAGTGACTCGGTGTGTGAACTAACCGAAATTAATTAACTGTCACCTGCCTAATGGCAGTTATGGAAATGGGCGGAGCAATTTGACGACGTCGTTTCTTATCACGTGATACGAAATACGTATGCTTGTAATATAAATTTATCAGTCTCTTATGCCTACTTGTATAACATCAAACAGACTCTGTCAAACAACTAAAATTAATATGACACCATTTTTTTTTCACCTACAAATATTTCTCGACCCCAAGAGGTCACTCTGCTCTTCACTATTTTTGAACAGTTGCTTTAAACTAACGGTTTTCAAATTAAGAAATACAATTTTTATTTTAACATCAAGAAAAGGCAACAATATATAGGGAGACCAGGTATGGTTGTAACATGTGGAGAGTTGTATATGAATGGTTATCAAGGCTCTAAATAGGTACATGCAGATTTTATAAGAAACTGATTTAGAGGTAAGAATGTATATATCTTTTTTGACCGAAACTATATTTTGTTTAGTACTACTTAAACTGTTGCAGATGAAATCATATAACTTACATTAGAATAACTTGCTGATTCTCAGGCAAAATGTTAAGCATTTTTAAACTGCTAATTTCAAACCATTATGCTAATACAGATAATGGTTTGTTACAATCTACCCCACCGGCAGTGGGGTAGATTGTAACAAAGGCACGCCATGTATTTGACATCAACTTATAATTGCTGTGATATTCTTGCAGAGGTCTGAATTGGTGCCTTTTGTAGTGAACAAATGTGATGCTTTGTATAAAAGTTTGAGCACTCTTGCTCAAAAATTCAGAGAGTTACAGATACTGAAACAAAAAGCGTTACAACCATACCTGGTCTCCCCCTACAAATAGATTTAGGTACATTTTAATTTTAGCTTTTGTGATTTTCATCTGTTGCTTGCTCACTGGTTGTTGATCTATTTTTTTTTCTTTGAAATTATATTATGACAAATGCAACACATTTTTTTTTTGAAAATGTCATAATATTGCACTGCAAATTATGTTAACGTAACACAAAGTAAATTATTTAAAGATAACATTGTAATAATTTGCCTTCGCTGATGAAACTTCAGTGATGCTAAAAAAATAAAACAATTAAAAAAGATTTCTTTTGAAACAATTGAAACACATTTGTAACATTTAAAAAAAATGTAAAAAAAATCATATTACATATTGGTCTCTCTTTTTTTTTTTTTTTTTTTTTTTTTTTTTTTTTTTTTTTTTTTTTTTTTTTTTTTTTTTTTTTTTTTTTTTTTTTTTTTTTTTTTTTTTTTTTTTTTTTTTTTAAATGTCAGTTAAAATGGAAATGTGAACTGAGCTTAACTATAAAATCCCAGATGCAAAGATTTTGAAACAGAACTCTTTTCACTATTTCTGAACTATTTCTATTCCCCTGTGTATTCGTGCAGTGACACAAACTAACCTCTATACCGATTTTGTTGTTTTTATAGGCAGGCATATTTTGGGGGAAAATATCCGCAACATTTATCTCTCATGATGTTCAGCTTTTTGTACTGAGAAAGGTTTCAAATGTTTTCTGGCCTGTGAAATTGACAGACACACTAGAGGCAATTCCCACGGTATAGAAGCCTCCAAAGTGCCAGTGTGCAGAGGGCTGACACTGTTTTTTTAACTCTAAACCTTTTGACCTCTTGTTCCTGACCTGGCTGATTCTTGTGCTATGAATTTTAATTAATGTGCAAGGCATACATAAATATTCTTCTTTCTATTCTTCTTTAAAACACAGAAAGTCAGCAAACACTTTTGAAAATACCAGTTTATTTTAGATCATTACATCCATGTCATTTAATATGAGCAAAGCCTTGTTTATGCTGACATAAACAAGTACTTTTGAAAAGAGCCCTTATGCATGTAAACAAAAACAAATGCTACAGTATCACTCAAAGCATTGACAGACGAGCATGTTTTTTTTTTGTTCAGACCTCATGGACATGAGAATTCCCAAAGACATCTGTAGACCAGTGTTTACACATATGCTTGTTTAGCTATAAACAAATGTCAGAGGAACACCAGAGCTTGAGCAGAATTAATGTGAGACCCTTGATTTACAGTCACTCTGGGGAGATCACTGTTGCGGATGGCTGGATTCAGAGCAAAACCATATGGCCACAGTTTGCCACTGGATGTTTTTCCCGTCCTCGTTACTGGTAGTTTCTGATGCAAGGTCCTTTTTTATTTGTTTTCGACTCATTTTGATCAAACTCTGTGTTGGAGCGGGAATTATTCTTTTGGAATGAGTGGTAAGCAATTTCATTTATGAATTTTACAGGCTTATTTAGTGTACACAGCTCATGAGATTTTAATATTGACTGCACTACAGTTAGAAACTATTCAAACACATATATCTACACATTGTTTGCTTATATTGTCAAAAATGTATATATACAAATATATCTCTGTGTGTATTGTAAAATCTAAATCTAAATTTGGATTAATATGTCATCTAGAAGTAATGAAGCACTTCGAGAGACTTCCTGGCCCACTGCTCTTTTTGATGACTCTGGTTTCTCTCAGTCTGGGCACCAGATTCATCTTGCTGATCTCCATGCCCAACACCTCCATTCCTTTCAGTACTGGACGGATTGGGGCTGGAGCTCTTATCGCTATCAGTTCTGTAAACAGCAGTCCGGACCTTCTGCAAGGTCAGTGAGCTATTTGCACCAAGTAGAAAAAGAAGATGAGCAATATTTATATATCATCTTTAATTTAATATGTTGTTGAATTATTCATGTCAGGTCATCATCTGGATTACCATTATGTGGATGATGAATGCAATGATCTACGTGGCCCAGGGAAAATTGCGGCACTTTACCATAAACACAAATACAGTGCTTTCATCGGACCATCTTGCTCGAATGTATGTGGCCATATTAGCTTCATTTCCAAGACAATTGAAAGTCAAAATAAATAGATAATAAAAATACAGCTAGTTTAAATGGAACGTGTCAAAATAACAATCAATCACTCATTATATCATTACTCAGACAATAGACTCTCAAATTAAGGTATCTGTCTTCTACAAGCACAGTTCCAATTAAAGCTTAAAATTGACTTTTAACACATGAAGGACTATCAAAAAGTAATTACAAAAGTCGTTATAATCTCATGTGTCTCAAGATATCATCATTACAAGATGAAGGACTATCAAATGTTCGTTGAGTAGGAAATGGAGTATTATCATCTGTTGTTAATTCTTATTTAAGGTCTGTGCAGTGACTGCTAAACTAGCAGCTTATTGGAACATTGCTGTCATCAGTCCTATATGTGCAGATCAACAATTTCTAGATAAGAAGGTTGGTTGTAAAGTGTATATTATCATTAACATGCTGATATCTTAAAATGCACTTTGCTTTTCAGTTGCTAAATGTTTTTTTTTCTCTCTTGACCCCTATAAATTCAGGCCTATCCAACCTTAACAAGAGTGTTTGGACCTTTCACTAAACTAGGGTCTTTCTTTGTGGAAATCTGCAAGCGGTTTGGCTGGCAGCGCATCGGCATTATCTATGACAATAAACCATCCTGGGCTATTCCTGTTGAGGGGATCAGGTATGTAATGTACCTTGAAACTGAGAGGTGGAAAATCTATGTACATTTACATTTATTATAAACTGCAAGTACATTGTAAAAAAAAAAAAAGATTTTTAATTTTACAGTAAAAATATTGTACCAAGTAGAAAAGGAACGGTATAGTTTAAGTCAAAAAGAACAACTAATTTCATAATTTACTGTGAAAAAAATAATGCAAATTGGCATTCCCAGAATTCCCTGTGTGATAGTTCACGTTTGATGTAAGTACTATTTTGAAGTCAAGAAGTTCATCTTAGATTTTTAAAATATAATTCCTTAAACACATTTTCTCAAAAGGTATCAAGCAGAGCACAATAACATTACAGTGGCCAAGTATCAAGAAATCCATGGCTCTCTCTTCCAAGGGTCCTTGTCGACCTGGTCCTGGGTCTTAACTGAGGTGGCACAAGTCTCTCGCAGTAAGAAAAAAAATCCCCTCTGATGAGAATTTGTTCTCACAAAAGCTGTGAGGAACTAAACAATGAAAGTATTGTTTGTGTCCTTTATCCTGTACAGTTATTGTGATATCAGCACATGGCAAGGTGGTCCGCAGTTTGCTAATTGAAGCTCACAAGAAAGGCCTCACCAACGGAGATTTTGTTTTCTTTTGTTTCGAGCCATATAAGCAAAAGGTGTTATTTGGCAGTTTTGACTGGAAACAAGGTGTGTTACGTAACCACAAATTCATAAAATGAGACATTGCTGAACATGATGTAATTTTCTATTTATAGTACATGGTTTTCTCCTTTCTCAGGTGATGGATATGACTCAGTGGCCAGGCAAGCTTATCAGGCTCTGTTTTTCCTGTCTCTGTATAAACCCAGTGATAAACTGTATCAGGCCTTTTCAGAGAATGTAATCAGCAGATCCAAAATAGACTTCGGCTATACATATGCTTCTAATGAACAGGTTTGCTTTTATTATGCACATCAACGAAGGTAGAGTCTATTTTCAATGACTGAGTTTTGGTGCGAGGGCATGTGGTTGAATGGATGGAAAGCCATGTGATGGGAAGCCTGATGTGAAATTTAGTTTGCCTTTAATTATCACTATCCAGGTGAGATGACCCTTTAGCACAACCTTTAGGTTATTTCATTATGAGTTGAATTGTTTTAATTCCACAGGTGTCATTCCTTGCAGCCATAGCCCATGATAGTGTCTGGCTGTATGCCCAGGCATTAAACGAAACTTTGGCAGAAAATGGAAACCCATATGACGGTTTAGCCATGACTAGACGAATGTGGAACAGGACCATTACAGGTTTGTAAAGCTTAAAATATATCCAGTGATTCCCAACTGGATAGCAAACACTGTGCACATATGTAAAAAATAAATAATTAAACTTTCCCAAACCTTTATGGACTTAAGATTACATGTGCATATGAAATGCTGAGTTGGTATTATTTAGTATAATACAAGTTTTCCTTTTAACTTGTATTATACTAAATAATACCAACTCAGCATTGCATATGCAAATGTAATCTTATTTAATCTCATTTCATACTCATGTAATCATATTTCTGGTTTTCGTTTGTTTTCTGGTTAGATGCTTTGTGACTTTTTGTTAAACAGGTATCCAAGGAGATGTAACTATTGATGCAAGTGGAGATCGTGAGTTAAATTACATGATGAAACAAATCCAAGGTAGTAATAACCAGTGTCAGGTGAGCTACTGTCATATGCTTACTATCTAGACCTACTGTAAGCACAACAAATGCAAGCTATCTGAAAACTGCTGTGCTATTCTGAATTTAATTTGTCAAATGAGTCATAGGGTTCTCCACACAGGTCATTGCGAACTATTTTGGGACTTATAAGGCAGTACAGGGGCTTCACATCAAGTGGCCTGGAGGACGGACATCTCCTCCCAAAGACTCTCCAGATTGTGGCTTTCATGGAGAACTCTGCATCAATCTAGGTATCAGTCAACCGGGGCTCATTGGAAGAATGTGACTATGGAAGCATATAGGTAGCACAATTCAATTTAAAATGCAATATGCAAAATGGCAATGCAATATGCAAAATGGCAACACAATATTCAAAATGGCAATGTATTTCTGTATTTAAATTTACATTTTCCATTACCCATACGTGCAAAGTTTGGTGCAAAAGGAAAATTAAATTATATAATCCTTTGTTGGAAAAGTAAATAAATAAATTTAATTATGTTTGCTTATTTTATAACACTTTTCAGTAACAATATTTCATATTACATTAAATGTATATATTTAAACATAGGCCAATACATATATTTACAACAGATGTTGCAAATTTAAAGATGGTGTTGATAAATCACATTCAATTAATGTGAAGATCTAGTCAGGGTTCTCAGTCCCGCTCCTGGAGGGCCAATGTTTGTTTTTAACTCCGCCAAATTTGTTTTCCTTTCCTTTCATAAAGTATAGCGTTCAAGTTACCTCTGAGTGTTACAATTATATGATATTTCAGAAACTTAAAAAAGCTACTACACTTTACTGTAATATGAAATATTGTAACTAAAAAATGTTATAACATAGTCAAACATAATTCAAATAATTTATTTACATTTCCAACAAAGGCAGGGTTTCTGCGGGGCATTGAAAATCATTAAAATTCATGGAATGAATTCATATATTTCTCTGTTCACGCTCCACTTCATCTGCCAGTGAATTCCACGATCTTATCAGATCTCCAGCCGCCATGTTTCAAACGATCCAAACGTAACACGCTTCCGCCAATCCCTGCCTTGAAGCAATGATTGACGGAGGGTGGGCATTTTGCTACAAATATCCCACGGCGTCATGATGAAAATGCAATCCTAAGTGTTCTAACTGTTAGTCTAAATGCATTTAGGACAAATAGCATTTAAATGATCATTATGCTACCATTTCTGCTTGAACATGTTACACATATCAAATCAAGTTGTGTTATACATTTTCATTTTAATTTCGCAACTTATAAAGCGTTCACATTTGCATGCAATTTACATATTAAGACTACTGTTGAAAATGGCAAATGTAAATTATATAATTTAATTTTACTTTTGCACCAAACTTTGCACGTATGGATAATGGAAAATGTAAATTTAAATACAGAAATACAATGCCAATTTGAATATTGCATTACCATTTTGCATATTGCATTTTAAATAGAATTTCGCTACCTATATGCTTCCATACGTGACTGTGGCGACAGTTCTGCAAATTTATATTACATAACATTTCGTGATACTTAAAAAATGTCCAGTCAGTGGCGCTAAAAACGTGTTCTTTTGTATCCAGACGAACATGAATCTGGCAACGTTTATTATGTTGGTGGCTGTATGACAGTTCTGAAATGAAATATGAGTTGCACTTAAAAGGATATTGCTCTATCATGTTTGAAAATAACATACCACCTACACTAAACCATATCCTGGTTACCACCGATAGTGATAACAAAAGCAAAAGCACGTTTTTGGAGTTTTGCAGAAATGTATGCAGAGGCTTGTTTTTCCAGTGAGCCTGGGTTGGTATTTGGACTTTCATGGCTTCTAAGTTGAATGTATTTCACAGTTGGCCCAGCGTTCATTAATTTTGAAGGTGTGTTAATAACACACAGCAACATGATAAGAGGCTTGAAAGCATGTTCATCTGGTTCTAGCTTATCAACAACTCCTTCAAGAGGCCAGTCAGAGGCCATAGTGCAGTCACATTATTTCCAGTAGGGGGCACCAGATGCCCAACTTTGCTCCATACATTAATGCATTCACACTGATTGTTTTCTCACCCCTTCACTTTCATCTTTTTGGCATTGCCCCATACCCTATCTTTGATTAAAAAAGGGGGGAAAGAAAAAAAAAATCTTGAATAATGTACCAATGCTTGCAAGATCCAAATGTCCGACTCAGTGGCAATATAGATTTCTCAGCTATTCACTGACTGAATCTCCCCCAAGCTAACAGGTCGAAGCAATAACATCTGGACAGACTTATGCAACCAGCTATAATACTTTTATCAAAATGTTGAAAAGGTGACTGGAAGTGACTGTTTCATATTGCATTCCTACAGAATTACCCTTGGTGGCTTCCAGACTTGCGGTGTCATACCTCTATAAATGGACATAGTTGCATTTTGTCAAGTGAGTGCTAATCACCCAGCAGACCTGCAGATTACCAATGTATGTGCTTTATTTTCAGAGAGAAAATTCTTGATTGCCTTAGGGATTATTGTTGGCTTGGTGGCTGCTGGGACCCTTGCAATCTGTTCTTTATACAGGTAATAGTTAAAGTGTGTATTTTCAACTGCTTTTAAATATTAACATTGCACATTCAGAATTGTGGAATCGAGTGTAGAAATGAGATCATTTGCATAAATGAGATGTATATACTTAGATTTTTCTTTCCAAGAGTTTTTTTTTTCTTTTTTTGCTTGTTACACCATTTTAATTTATTTTGGATGTAAAATTTGCATGTTATACTGCAATTATGTTGAAATAATCTGTTGATTTTATAGTTCATGAATGCCAGACGAAATGCTTCAGCTAAAACGTTAGAGCTGATGCCCTAAAAATGCAAGCCTAATTCAGTCAACCCCACTGCTGTTCTTCAGTTTTTTTTTGTAGAAATGTTCTTAAATTACAGTCTTCAAATGAAACTAATATTTATTACCAGGAAGTTCAAACTCCAGGAAGAAGCTTCCAAAATGCTGTGGACTGTCAATGCTGCTGATGTCATAATGATGGAGCATCACTCCTCAACTGTGCCAGCAAAGGTTTTGAGAGGATTTAATGCATTAAAAGTTGATTAAGTAGCTCTTCTGGCTCACAATTTACTTTATTTTGTAATGCAAGAAGTATGTGAACATAAGTACTAATAGCAATTGTGAAGCAGAAATATTACATATAATTAACAATGCAATAGACACTGTCATCTAAAGAGATACCCCCCTTCTACCCCCTAATCATTGCTGTTTTAATTTTGGTTTGTTTGGATGGAATTACTACATGAATGAATCTATTACATCTAGATTCCCCCCTTTGTGGTTCAGTCTCACAGATCCAAACCCATTCAGGCTTCTTTGGAGTCTATAATTTGCAGCATGCAGGACAAGCCATCAGCACACAGAACCGCAGTCTACAAAGTGAAGTATTTGGGTTCTTAGTGTTTATACATTTACGTCACTACATAGCGACATTATGTAGAAGAGAATTTATGCTACCAAACATTTGGCATGATTTAGTTACCCAATAAAACAATTCATAGTTCAGTTAATTAAATACATTTTCTCTCTCCTTCAGGGGACAATTTGTACTGTTTGCTTTCTGAATTTAAGAAACCCTCACCTGAGCAGCAAGCTCCTGGCGGAACTCAAACAGGTGAACTCTGTTTAAAACATTAATAATGCATTTCATTTTTTATACAATATCCATTTACTCATGTAGGTAATATGATGCACCTCAATCAATACCTCTGTGTCTTTAGTGCAGAGATTTGACCCACTATAACCTTTGTAAATTTATTGGAGCGGTTCTGGAGACCCCTCAGCCCTTCATTCTTACAGAGTACTGCCCTAAAGGAAGCCTGCAGGTGCTATTACACAGATAATTGTTTCTTTTCTATCAGTTAATTAGCATTTGTATTTCTTTAGGATTATCTTATGGGTTTTTAATAATGACAGTTTTGGATTTATGAATAAAATAAATGTAACTATTGGGACAATGGTTGTAATCCTTATGCAAGAACTTTATTGCAACATATATTTAAAAACGGCAGCTTCAAAATTAATGTTTGATATATGACTATATGTGTATAATTTATGTTGATGTCATAGTAAAACATAATATCAATATATCTTCAAGTAACTTATTTTAATCATAAGTATAAAGAGAAAAACTGAAAATTCCAGAGAGAAATTTCATGAAACTCATGAAGTTTCATGAAACTCTAGATGGCACAAGCTCTACAGGTTCTAGCTCAATCTGATATAATCACATCATCATTCACATGGCTCAGCTGATTGGTTCCTTTTTGCATCAGCAGCCTGAGCTTGCTTCTCAACATTCAAATACTTGGCTAGTGCTTGCTGTAGCAGTTGCAGCGCGCTTCAAAACCCCTCCATCTTCCCCAGCTCCACCCAGCTTTGCTACAGTGTTATTTTCTACATGCTCACATCAGCATGTCTGTGGATGCAATGCTATCTCATGGCCAATTCGTACGTATTTGGCTAATTCATACGAATCCGTACGACCTCATTCGCATGATTTTGTACGATTTCTGTGACGGTTACGTTTAGGGGCGGAGTTAGGTGTGGTCCTTCATACGAATTTCTACGAATTTGCCATCCTGTAAAATGCGTACTATTTTTCACAAATCGTATGAATTCGTACGAGTGAGGTTGTGCGAATTCTTACGAATTAGCCACCTTGTCAAATATGTACGAAGTGAAGATCGTGTTGGTGGATGTGTTGGCAGAAGTAAGTCTCGGTACTTGCTCTGCCACAGCAGCAGCAGCAAAAGCAGCGTAGAAGATCTATTCCGCCAAGACCAAACACATTAACATTGCCATGTATATTACTGTGCTTAACTCTCCGAGAGTTGGCATGACAGAACTGTAGTAGATTAGCCTTTCTGGGTTTACCTACAAAGTAATGTCGAGACTAAACAGCTCTATTGATAGACAATAATCTTTATGGTTCTACAGGTTTGGAACAACATGAGGATACATAATGAATGATATAATTTTTGGGTGATCTGAGGAAGCACTATGTTCTTTCATGTGATGATATATGAATGAATGAATTCATTCATTCATTCCTTCATTCATTATGATATATGTTATTATTTTAAGAATGGCCATTGTAACGAAAGGTTTTGTCCCCAAAATTTGCAGGACATTTTGAAGAATGAGTCTATCAAGCTGGACTGGACTTTCAAACTTTCCCTCATGCTAGACATCGTAAAGGTCATTGTGTCTGTGTTTTATAGTCTAAACCGTTTTCGCTGACAGTAGAATATAAAACAGTGATGGATACATTTTGACTCTCATGTAGGGTATGGACTATTTGCACCATAGTCCCCTGCACTTTCACGGTCACCTCTCATCAACAAGCTGTGTGGTGGACAGCCGCTTTGTCCTGAAGGTCACTGATTTTGGACTTAATGTACTCAGGCGTTCAGACTCAGAGAAGTGTCCCGGATTTGACCACTGGACCGGTAAGCTGGAAATCTGGAACTTTCCAGAAGAAATGCATTTTTGTTTGGAAGAAAAATACCTATTTTTAAATAATTAGTTTAGAGTTCAATACATAAATACACAAATGTGTTGCACACATAAATGCAAAATGAGGACCGTTTTAGTTCGATTTTGTGTTTTTTTTTTTTAAATATGTGTTTTCATTTTAAGCTCTGCTGTGGAGGGCACCAGAGCTACTGAGGCAGTCCATTCCAGCTAATGGTACACAAAAAGGGGACATCTACAGTTTTGCCATTATCGCTCAAGAGGTAGTATATCGTAGAGGGCCTTTCTACATCCCCAACTGTCACTTCAGTGCTAGAGGTACGGTAATACACTTCACTCCCTCTCTCTATAAAGTCACTCTTCATAACATAAAGTAAACCATTTCAGATGGACAACTGTGCAGGACTGTTGGTGACTCTCTCCCTGTCTGTTTTTTAGAGATTGTGGAGAGGGTCAGGGCAGGGGGCTGTAGCCCACTGAGGCCTCACATAGACCCAGCAGAGGGTGTAGAGGAACTGGAGGGAATCATGGTCAGCTGCTGGAGAGAAAAACCTGCAGAGAGACCAGATTTTTCTTTTCTCAGGACTGCCATCAAAAAACTGTTTCCTAATGGGTCAGTAATGAAGCAAGACATAGAGCCAGTAGCGTCTATGTCACGATTATTATTGTTGTTATCAATAATTATTTTACCCTTAAAAAAATTACTACTATTGAAAAAATATATAGTCACAAACTTAATCATTATCCTAATAGAAGCTTAATTTTAGATGGAATAGGTCACCTCCTTAGGGCTGACATGTGGCTGTTTTTCCCAAGGGAAAAAAAATTATTTTGTATGACTGCGTCAATCTACTACATTTAGTTTAGACCAAGAAACAATCAGCTTTTACAGTGTGCAGTTGATTGGTTTACAAATGTTTTGAAAATAGGTTTGATTGAATCAAGAACCAGCTTCATTAATAAATTGGATATCACTAATCTGAACTTCTGTTTGTGTATTTATCTATGGCTATCAGTGTCTTTATTATTAACTAGAACTATTTAAAATAATTTCCATTGATTAAAATAAATCTGAATTAATTTAAGATATAAATATTAGATGAAAAATTACTAAAGCTTAAATTAGAATTAAAATGAAAACTGAAAATATAAAAATAAAAGCAAATTCAAAAGGCTATAATATTATTTATTTTTGTACGACACATCTTCACTATACTATAAAACAATGACATGTTGGCAGTTGGCACTTGCATACCACAGACCAAAACAAAGAGAACCACAGCCTCTCTGTCTTTTATGGTTCTCCGCGGGCTTTCTGCTGATACAATCTTCACCACTTGCAGAGTAAGATTCAGTGTTAACATTGAGATAAGTTTGATTAAAGTCACTTTAAACAAGCAGTGCTGAGGCATCAGCGTACAGCTATCTCTCCTTCCCAATCTAATGCTGTCTTGACACTGTAACAGTTGCACATTCTTCCTCTTTGTGCTTGTTTCAGCTCTAAATGAGCGCTTTTGAGATAAAGAAGAACAAGCAGGGACAAAGAGGATCATTAATTACACTTACAAATGACAGTGCTTAATCAGGTAGACAAACAAACAAAGGATATGGCTACTCTGGGGACCAGTGACACACAACCCAGCGATCACAATGTCCCATGAGAACAACACTGTCACAACATATCACGCTAAACATTTACACTGGCCTTGGAGGATGAAGGGAGAGAGAGAATTAAAAACAAAGCAATAGTGTTGTGAGTACTGTGCGCTCATAAATGTTTCTTTTGCAGCAAAATGGGCAATAAAGAATTACTGCTTCTTTAATGTGATAGTACTAAAGCAAGTTAATTGTAATAATATGAAATGACTTTTGCTAAGCATTTGAGTGTGTGCACAGGGGGTCTGAGAACATTCTGGATAACCTGCTGTCCCGTATGGAGCAATATGCGTGTAATCTGGAGGAGATAGTCAGTGAACGTACCGCTGAACTCCAGGAAGAGAAGAAGCGAGCGGAGGGACTGCTCACGCAGATGTTGCCACGGTAACGCTCCAGATTATAACAACAACAACAAAATGCTGATCCAAAGCTAACTAGAACTAAATTCTTCCTTTTAAACTCTTCTTCCTTTTTCCATTCTTTTCTTTGATTTACAAAGTAAATATGCAAATAGGCTATGACACACCAAGCTGAAGGTCAGCCATCGGCCAGTGTCAGGCTGTCTTTGAGCATCTGTTGGCCTAGTTTTTGTGGTATGCTCCCCTTGTTGGACCAGCATTGGCAGCTTTTCGGCAGATTGAGCATGTTGAATCAACAACGGAGTCTCTTGGTGATAAAGCCTACACTAATTGGCTGTTCAACTTTGAAAAACAGTGCACAGGAAGTCAAGAGGACACACACAGAATGCTCTTTTGGTTCTTCCAGTTTGTCTTTTTATATGATAAATACAGACTACTGCCACCTGCTGTTATGGTTCGCCTCTCATGCAGGCACAAACACTATGTGCTAGGCTGTTGGCTTTAGTCTTTAGTCAAATTTTTTGACTATAGTTGGCTTCTGTTTCCGCTAGTTTTTTTTTTTTTTTATGTCAGTTTGTTGTGTCTTAGCCTTAATGCTTAAAATGTTCAAAGGTTTTGTACTGAATGCAAATTTAAAATGTACAATTCTGTGAGACTGGATATATTTGACCCAAAAAAAGTTGTTGACCCTAAAATGAAAGTTCTGTCATCTATTATTCACCCTCATGTTGATCTAAATCCATATGACTTTTGTTCGTTTTCCAAACAGAAATCAAGATATTTTGAATGAAATCTGAGAGCTTTTGGTCCCTCCACTGACAGTTTATTCACCCTAAAATTTGACTATTCAAAAAGTTCATAAAGGCATAGCAAATTGAATCAATATAAATCGAGCCGTTTAATTCTTCTGAAGATACACAATCACTTTTTTTGATGAACAGATTTAATTCAGGCTTTTATTCACATTTAAACATTGATCAATGCACATACATTTAGCAAATCAATATGGTAAATGGAAGCTCAAACATGCTTGCTTGACACACAAGAACCAAAGAGGTTTGTTCTTGCGTGCCAAGCATGGTTGAGCTTCTGTTGATCATATTTCAATAGAGGGATGGAAATCTCTCAGATTTAATTAAAAAACGTTTGTGTTTCAAAGACGAATGAAAGGTTTGGAACGACATGAGGGTAATGATGTAAATGATGACAGATTTTTTTGTTTTTATGTGAACTATCCCTTTATCACCTGGTTAAACTGGATGCGTAGTGAATGATGTAGGTTTTCTTGTTGATATACAACTTGTTGAACAACTGTTCAGTGAATTCATCCACAACACTTCAGTTACTAAAAACTTGCTTGCACCTGGCCTAACAAGCCTATGTGACGAGACCAGCGATCATCACCAAGCCCTCCACTTGAAACCTGCCTTTGAAAAGTACCTGTCTTTTTTCTCGTATTTTTAGATGTGTAGCTGCTCAGCTCATAGCGGGAAAGACAGTGAGAGCAGAGACCTACGACTGCGTCACCATCTATTTCAGTGACATTGAAGGCTTCACAGCCATGTCAGCATCCCTCACGCCAATGCAGGTGATGAAAGACGCAGAGACTCAAACAGTATCTTCGAGAGTTTCTCCCCCAGTTTCTGTGTAGGCCTTGTAGGCAAAAACAATTCAGAGAGGTTTTAAAAAAAAATGTAGGTCCTAAGTGGGGTCATTTGTACAGATTTCGATAATATTTTGAAAAATACATATGTCCAGAGCTATTTGGGGAGGCTTGAGGAGCCGCTGTCTTCTATTGTCTAAGATTTTGAAATACCCAGCACTTGTTAAATAATGAATGTGTCTATGTGTGTTTGTTTGTGCAGGGGTCTGTTGTAAGATCAAATACCCATATAGTAAGCTCTGGAATGGGTTTCATATGTCCCATAAGAGCTCCTGACATTACTAGGTGACATGGCACAAGTGCTGAAAACTCCACTCTGTCACGAATAGCAGGCTTCTGTTAGCATAGCTGTTGGCTCAGTAGCCTGTCTGAGCCTTAATGTGAAAATAATACATTCACATGAGGTTATTTTTGGACCATGCTGAAGCCCACAGCTGAACCACAACGGAAACCTATTGTCACCTTTCAGAAACTTTGATCTCTGTATCTTTATCCATAAGCTGACTGCTATAAACTGACTGCACACGTTTCCTTTGCTGTAGGTAGTGAACGTGCTGAATGACCTGTACACATACTTTGACAATATCATTGACAACCACAATGTCTATAAGGTACATAATTTGAATGCTTCACTGCCTTGCAAAACGATTTCATCTATTGTAGGATATGGGTTGCTTCATGTGTCCTTTGCTGTATCCAGGTAGAAACCATTGGCGATGCCTACATGGTAGTGTCGGGCCTGCCTACAAGAAATGGAGACGACCATGTAAAAGAAATAGCAAGAATGTCGTTAGCTATAGTGCAGGGCATGAGGAGCTTCTACAGTCCACATATACAAGAGCAGCAGCTGAGGGTCCGCATTGGAGTTCATTCAGGTAATAACTGGATGGTGACAGCTCTTTGGCTGTGCTATTCGTATATTCACTGGCTGATCAATCACAAAAAGAAATGTGCTCAGGAAATGAATGTACTGGGGTATTGCGTTGTAATTTATGTAACGTAAGCAACATGTTTTTTTATGCTCTTTTACTAAAATATGAACACTTATACAACAGATTAGAGGTGTTCAACCTTAGCCGTAGTTCAAGAGCTAGACTGGCAAATTTCTTTTGTCTGCCAAAAACACATTTTAAAAATGTACATATCCTCCACCAAAGCTTTGTAGATGGAAAAAAAAAAAATTCAACATGAGGTACTCCTCGCATATTTCCACTTGATTTTCCAGCCTGGATATTCACAAAATTTACGCTACAATTCAAAAGTAAGATTTTAAAACAATAATAATAATAAATAACACCAATAATAAAATGTCTATTTCAAATAAATGCTGTTCTATTAAACTTTCTGTTCACCAAAGAAAATGTATCATAGATTCCACACAAAAAAAAAAAAAAACAGTTAAAAACATAATGATAAATAAATAAAATGTTTATTTTGTACCAAATCAGGATATTAGAATGATTACTGAAGGATCATGTGATCACACTGAAGACTGGAGAAATTTCAAAATAGAATACAAAATATAAATAAATAAAATAAAAGAAATCATCCTCTCTATGTATGAAAATAAAAGAAGATATCAGTATGCATAAAAATATGTGCAATATACTGTAAGAGACAGATGGACAAATCGTGCATTATCTAAAGGTTTAAGGGACTACTTCTCATAAATATATTTGATTATGACTGGTTATTTATACAAAAGGTTTATACAGTACATTTAATTTCTTCTCTTTCTTGCCTTTTTCAGATGTGTTTTGAATAGAAAACCAATGACCCATTTGTATATTCATTCTGATTTGGTTAATTTACGCACCAGAGGAGTGTTTACGCTACTCAGGCATTCGTGCAGTAATTCCAACTTGCCAAATTGCTTTATGACACATATAAGAAAAATTCAAATAAAATACATAATTATACATTATATTACATAATGTCACCATTAAATAGATGCGTTAGACACACAAAACATAGGCTGAGTACTATTGCAATAAAGGAACAGAAGAAACTTTATTTGAAATGTGTTTGTTAAAACTACTAGAGGTTGTGGAAAAATACAGAGTCATTAAAAAAAAAAATCATATTGCTTGTTACAGGGCCATGTGTCGCAGGGGTTGTGGGTCTGAAAATGCCACGCTACTGTTTATTTGGAGACACTGTGAACACTGCCTCCAGGATGGAGACATATGGATTACGTAAGATGTGCTGACAGCAGATTAGGAAGATATGTCAGAGAAGCATTTTAAATGAAATCCATGTGATTGATCTTACTGCCTTGACCTCCGCACTTTTTTTGACCAGCCTTTAATTATGTAATAGTAGAGACAGACATCCTATTGTTTTACTTTTTCCCTCTCCAGCACTGAGGATCCATTTGAGCAGTTCCACCAAGTCTCTCCTTGACACTTTCAGGACTTTCCGCTGTGAACTGCGAGGTGACATCCACATAAAGGTTTCTGCCACTTTGACATTCACCTCAGAAAGCGTCATATTGCTTTCATCTCGCCTGTCTTACCACATCACAACAATCTGATTCGCTCAACTGATTCTTTTCACACATATTTATTTTAGGGTTGTTGCTTCAAAATTACTAGCACTAACAGCGACACACCCATTGTGTAATAAAATGACATCATAACTACAATCAAGGCTGTAAACATTGATATCTGAAAAGTTGTGTATACATGGCAACATAATTTCAGAAAGAGTGGAAATATTTCTTCAGTAACAAGTTACAGCTGGAAAGGACCTATAAATAGAGCTCAATAGCCTCCTCTTAACAACAAGTTTTCAAAGCTTCGGTAACTGCTCTCACCTCCATGTTCTTTTCCATTTCAGGGAAAGGGCTGGGTGAGGACATACTGGCTTTTGGGAGAGGACTACTAAACCAGATGTTTTTTTTCAATACTTTTTAACATAATGCAAAAAAAAAATTAAAATTAAATTAAATAAAAAAAAAAAAATGAAAGAGTGTATTACACTATATTTATACTTTGTTTTGTGTGTTTGCAGTATTTTAGTTCAATAAGAAAATTTCTAAGTACAAAAGGTTGGGGTTGGTTAGGTTTTTCTATATTTTTGTATGTTATATCATATATTTGATGAAAATACAGTAAAACCCCTCAGAAATATCATGAAATATTATTACAAATATATTACATATATTACACATAACTGTTTTCCTTTTTAATGTTAACTCCAGTCTTCAGTATGATCATTCTGAAATAATAATGTTTCTTGAACACCAAATCATTATTGTCAGTGTTGAAAACAGTTATGCTGCTTCATATTTGTGTGAAAACTGCAACAATTTTTTTTTCAGGATTCTTTGATGAATTGAATGTTCAAGACGTGTCTTTACTGTTACTTTTGACCAAAATGAATGCATCCTTGCAGAAAAAAAGTAATAATTTCTTTGTAAAAAAAAAAACTACAACTTTTGCATATAGGCCTATACAGTATGTATATCAATACCAAAGTGTTTTCATATATTTATCTTTATATTAATCACAAAGTTGATTGGGCACTGTAATGTAATGGAAAATAATAACCAAAGATCTGATAATTCTGTTTTCAATTATTCAAATATTCATTAGTGTTTGCATTTGAACACCCATTCCACGAAGAATATGCTAATAAATCAATTCTACCACAGGATGTTTATGTTGAACAGTATTTTGTAATCTCTCACCTATATGGACGCTGCTGAGAGCAGGTCATTACATTAATAGCACTCCCATTCCACAGTTGACCCTTGGTGATTCATTCCCCCTTCTGGCTTTTATCCAGTCATCTCTATCTTGCATTGGAGCTTTCACTAAAAGCCTTTAACAGTTGTACCATATTGACAGCAAACCTCTAAAAACTCTAGATTCAGTCTTAAAGGTTTACAAATTGCTGTCATTGAAATAGAATGTCCACATCGGCATTACTCCTTTCTGGTAACCTTTGCCCCCTTATCACAAGGGGTCACAGACACACAATTTTCAGACAAGACATTGCTGTATAGAATTGCCGTGCAACTTGTTGGGGGGAAATAAAAAGGAAATGTTTTCCTTAGTTATGGGAAGTTAATGGGAAACTTATCTGACTTTGCTAGAATTTGTTCCTGCAGATAATCTTCAATTCAAACACAAACATCTCAGGAAATGAAGGATTAAATCTTTGAACTGTATATTTGTTCAAAGTTTGGGGATTTAAAGATATGTGTTGTTGAAAAGGTAAATTCAGGATTGAAACTGATTAAAGTAAAACGAACCAAAAAAAAAAAAAAAATAATAAAAAAAGAAATTAACAGTTAGGTTTAGGGGTGGACTTTCATGCATAGTTTCCTTGTAAAAATTGTACATTTCCATAAAAATCACATTGTACGAATTCATCTGAAATTGCCACTTCATGAAATAGTTACGTATTCTCAAGGGATTGATTTATTCTCGTTGATTTTCTCCCTTAGAGTTTCTGATGTTTTACTGAAACCATGCACAAGTATTTGTGCATAACGTTTGGATATTGGAATGATTTTTCCCACAGAAATTTTAATATGAACACATTCAGTCATGAAAAGATTCCAAAAACAAACATTTTGACTCGCTCATGAATATTTAATCAAATTCAAATCACCTGTGAATGCTATCTTTATACAACTTAAAAAGACAAAAACTGTTAATGCTATTGTTAATGTAAAAAACAAAACAAAACAGATATAATGCAGAATACTGTATGCATTTAATGTAACACTTTCTATGAAGCTTGCATATAACTGCATTTAATCCCTTCTTAAAGGTACTGCAAGCTCCGGTGTAGAATTCAAAGATAATCATGTTTGTCTTGTAATTCATTTCTTACTTAGGTTGCTGCCTGCTTCCTGTAATATAGTATGTAATGTATGCCTTATGAAGCAACGGCACTCATCCAAGACCACTTTAGCAATTTCCCTCCGGTTAAGATTCTTGTCACGGAAGCCGGATCAGTGTCCTCTGAGAGGAGCTTTCTTACAATGAGCCAAGACCCCAAATGGGTGCTTTGTTTCACGCATTGAAAGTGCTGATGGGGTTACTTCCTTCTTATGATCACCCTGTTGTGTTGGTGTTGTTATAAGTTACATACAGGTCATGTTTAGAGTAGAAACAGTTTGCGCAGTATGTTTGATTTGGCTTTTTGCCTGGTTAGCACTGGCATGCTGTGGACAGTCATTGGCTGGATGAGTAATTATGGGCGGGGCTAGCTCATTTTGTATGAGCGAGGCAGTGTTGGGTGAGAAAAGTCTGTAGGAGATGTGCCTGGATGGACCTGGGCTTTCCTCGCTGACCTGTGACCGGCTCCGCAAATCAACCTCCAGAGCCTGTCAATGTCTCCCTGCTGACCACTCCACAATTGTGGTCTGTTTTTTTTTTGTTTTGACCTGATAAGCTGCTGCCATGAGTGGTTTTAAATACTTAATGCAGATCATTGTTCCTCTTCAGGAACTCGAGCTGCGTCGGAAAACGCTAGGGGAACGCCCTTCAGCTTGACCGGCTCTGAACCTCGTGTGTAATCAGACCAATAGATGGGCGAGACATCACGGGCGGGTGACGTAATGACCAGGAGGCTATAAAAGCACATGCGGTGAGACCAGCGTCAGCTTTTTGTCATTCAGAAGGCGCTCTGTATGTGTGTCAGTCTGATATCTGTTTGTGAGTCTTATTTAGTGTTGTCTGTCACGAATCTAAAAACAAGACAAAACCATTCACCTAAGGCGAGGGCAGGCAGCATTCAGGCTGTGTGTTCCTCCCTGCCCGCGTTACTTTACGGGTGGGGATACACATAGTTTGTTTGCTGTCTGCTTGGGAGCA